GTAGCTTGAATGTAAAAATTGTCATGAATTCGTTGTATTCCCATTTGTAAAATAGCCAACAAATTCATTGTTGTAGGCTAACCTGATCTCATGAAAGTGCATATAGCACGATTTTCTGCTTCTATTTGGCGTAATATTCTATGCAGAAATTGACTTCGGCATGCAAAAGACTGATAAATTCATAATTAACAGCATGGGTTCAGTCGACAGAAATACGCAACACAGGCCTATAATAACTGCTGAAATGTCTGCGGGGCAAATCTGAGGTCAGTCTGAGCGCTCATGGTACTCGCAGTGCGTACAGCCGTACACTTGCAGGCGCCACAGACTCGGACGGTTGACGTGGTAATAAACATCGTAAACAGCAACCGTTGGGCATGCAAAAGACTGATAAATTCATAATTAACAGCATGGGTTCAGTCGACAGAAATACGCAACACAGGCCTATAATAACTGCTGAAATGTCTGCGGGGCAAATCTGAGGTCAGTCTGAGCGCTCATGGTACTCGCAGTGCGTACAGCCGTACACTTGCAGGCGCCACAGACTCGGACGGTTGACGTGGTAATAAACATCGTAAACAGCAACCGTTGGCGTGTCCGTGCTTAATGCGCATATCCTATATGAAAAGCATTTTAGGGGGCCCTTGGCTTTTGGGGGCCCAAGGCGGTCGCCTACCTTTGCCTAATGGTTAAGTCCGCCCCTGCATGTGGGTGTTGAATGTTGCAAATCTGACACTATAGAAGCAGAGGGAAATTTCCTGTCCAGTAAAATCCTTTCATTCTGTTTACATTAGAGTTCTCTTAAATAACCTAATCTGTTGGTAATCTGTAGTGGATATAACCAACAAAAATATTTGCTTGCACTGGACCCTGGAATGACTGCACAATTCCACCGAGGCTTTCTACTAAGCAAGCAAGAAACCTTTAAATTAGCCAGTTCCAAAAGGACTCTCTGGACATGGTGGAGCTTGGAGAAAAGTAATTTCACTGGCAATTAGGGAAGCTGGGAACTCATCTCTGGCAAAACCCTGTTCAACTGAACGTCTCTCTGCTGGCACAGTCGTGGAGAGCGAAAGGAGAATGTTTTGTTTGATTCTGATGGTGATTGATGGCATTTCACCAAAGACCATAGTCAGTGAAGCCTGAAGTAATGTCCCTCCTTTCACTGGCCCACAGAGACAAGACCACATAACACTGATACAAACTGTTTACGGGATGGCACAAAAGCACAGTGACAGCTCTAGCAGTCTTTATGCATTCATTTTTTTCCTTACTGCGCATTTCCGCTTCATAGCTGAGGGAGCTCGGCTTGTGGACCCGATACTGCTTCAGGAGCTTTTTGTCCCAGGCACCGCAATTCAGAGGATTACCAAGTCGTAAAAATTCCCTGGAAAATACATAAAAACATTTTATAGAGACAGTAATAACCCACACAATTAGCAACTGCTTGCTTGCTCTTTGAGCATAATCAAAACACATAAAAAAATCTAGACGACAACAACAACTGTAAATGACAAAAATAAACGTTAAATAAATGTAATTAATAAAATATATCATATAATTGTAATGATTACAATAACAATAATAATTATATATTTTTATTTAAATAAAAATCTAAATAATAATAATAATTATTATAAATAATATATAATAATATAAATAACAATAATAACAAAATAATATGAATAAGAAGAATAAATTAATCACTTAAATAAATATGATGATGATTATATCTATATGTGGAAGGATTTTTCCAGAATGGACTGTTGCATGACATTTAAACAATAAAAGACAGATTTTGATTCCACAAATGAGCTGAAGTGAATTGCTGTTTTTTTCTTCTTCTTGATTTTGTAGAAGTAAGTCTGCATCCTCCATCACGTTAGACCAGCCATGCGGAAAATTGAAATTGCTAATCCATTTTGACTTGGAGACAACCCATGGAGAGCTTTGAATAATATTGAGATGTGTCAAATTCGATCATTATTCTTTTATTCAAACATGCAGCTGTGATAAGATCAGATCAGATCAGATCAGTAAAGACTGAATCATGCAGGAACCCCAGGAGCAAAACAGATTTTAACTGACTCTTAATCTGGTCTTTGTATAAACAAAAATCCATTCAAAAGAGCTCACATGTGGGAGACCAATCGATAAAAGGTTGGGGGGGCAGAACAGGAAGAAGGAAGAGGAACAGGAAGAGGCTTTGAGATTTAATGGCCAAAGAGCTGGCCCTCTGACCTGTACTGGATCACATTTGTGTACTGTAATGTATACAGTGTATTATAATAAAATATAATTTTCTTGTCATATTTTATTTTGTTATTTTTATATATTGTCTCTATTTAAGGCTTATTATATAAATAAAATTTTGTGAGCAAACTAGACTCACCTGAGCACCATAGGCTCTAGGGCCTGGGAAGCCAGTCGCTCAAACATCCTCTGCAGCGGTGGGTGGAGTGGGTGATCTTCGTCTCCCAAAGCGCAGCTACAGCGCTGAAGCAAGCGTGAGTGCAGACCCGCCTCACACAGGATCTGCTGGTTCCTCTCTGAATGCACCAGCAGCTGCAGGATGTTAGCAACTGCTAACTGCAGGTCCAGAGCATGCTAAGGAGCAGAGCAAAGGTAAAGTGAGCTGCAGGACACTTACAGTAGTACACTCAGCTCAGACAAACACAAAAAAAATCTGAAATTTAAAATTCACATTGCAGTGGCACAAGCCAAACACAGCGTGCTATTACTAGTCAAGTCTGAGGACAAATACCTAACCAATTAAACCAAGCTTTTTACAGGCCTGTTTTTAGGAAGGTACACCCCTAAAAGGAATGTTCTGGGTTATTACAAAATATCTTATGTCATCAGCATGCCACAGATGCTGTCGATTACACAGAATATCATTTAATCTTGTCCCAGTTTGTAGTAACAAACAAGTTTGTAAAAACAAAACAAAACGATGAAAAAGACACTGACAAATGTACTTATAGTGGAAGTCTATGAGCCAATATAATGCACTGCCTCACATTCTTCCATTGTTAAGCAGGTAACTCTCCAGTTACTCTCTGTACCTCTCCAGAGAGCAGATCGTGGTAATCATTTCTGTGGTAATTGTAGCAAACAACATAACAAAATGCAGCTGATAGAGCTTAAATGAGAACATGCCTTTAAGTTTCACACAAAATGTCTAAAAAAAAGATTCATTCTCATAAAATCCTTCACTTTGACTTCTGACTGTAGGTGAAAAACAAAAATGATGCTAAGGTAACAAATCTTTAAATTGAAGACGTGTAAGCAAAGTCTTTTCAAAATAAAAATAAATAAATTTATATAATTGCATAATAAGCCTTCATCCCACAACTATAGTGTATGAGTGTGTGTATATATATATATATATATATATATATATATATATATATATATATATATATATATATATATATATACACACACACACACACACACAACAATTATATACATACATATATTCACAAGATACTGTCACTTTTGAGCAATTTAATGCATACTGACTAAATAAAAGAATTAATTAAAAAAAATCTTACTGATCCCAAACTTTTGAACAGTAGTGTATACAATCAATTGTGAAGTAGCATCATAGATATGACAGTGTCATATTTGATGCTGATAAGTTCAGCAACACATTCTTACAGTATCTCTCCTAGCTACACATCAACACAAAAATGTAGCATTAGGCATTGCCATGTGGGCTGATGACTGTAAGACACCAAACATGGTGTCAGCTCACTAGATTTTGAGACAGAGCCAATATCTACAAGCAGCTCATACCTCAGGCTGTGTGTCAGAAGAAACGGAGGGTAGGAGGTCGAGCACTGCCAGCACTGCTCCAGGGTGGATGACTACAGGGTCTGAAGAGTGCTGGGATGGATTTCCCAAGTGCAGCTTTAGGTCCGTTAGGGCTTTACCAGGAGCAGAGTTGGATGAGCTGTGATAGCCATGTCTATTGGGAAAGAAAAGATCACTTAATGGCTCTTCTTAGTCTCATCACTTAGTGTCAGTGTCTGGAAAGTGTAATTCACTTATACATTTTGGCTTGGCAATTTTATGCAGATAAAAGCTAATAGGCTGCAAAAGCTTAGAGAGATTTTTTAAAAGAAGGATTTTTTTGGTCCTTAATCTTAAATACGGAACTGAAATGTCAAAAATATCAGCTTTGATGTAATGTTAATTATGAATCAAAACTCCCAACAGAGAGCTTGAAAAGCAAAAGGACTGAAAAAAGCTGTCAGCACAACCAGAGGAGAAGAAATTTTTGCAAACGCAAAGCTTTACAGGTAAGCAAAGTAGCTCAACATGGCAGATGAAATGGTGCAGAAAAAGATGAAAATATAGACAAAGGAGAAGATCAAGGAGAGGAAAAGTGAGAGGTTGCAAAGTTGCAGACGGCAATCACTCTGATCAGAGGGAGCAGAAAATGAATAAGAGTATCCTAAACAGGCCTGATGGAGGAAGTTTCCCAAGTCAAGCAATTTGTCTGTTGTTCACACTGAATATACAGCTGTTTTAAACCAGTGACATTTCTGGGTGGGCAGGGCTACCGTAAACATCTAAACTATATCAACTAAATGTCCCGTTGTACGTCAGAGTTTGTTAGGGGGGGGAAAAAACTGAATTACACAGAAGAGATACACTTTTATCATTTGTAAAGTTGTCATAACATTTCTGAATGGAATAGTTAAGCCAAAAATGAAAAATCTGTAATTAGTTACTCGTTCTTAACATGTCGTTCTAAACCTGTATGACTTTTATTGAAAATTTGTAGTCACATCTGTTCAGATGAATGCATAATACTAAAATTTAACCGTTTTTTTTTGTCGAACATAGTGAAAAAGTAAATATCCGCATGCTTAAATATTTTATATTATTGAATAATATCATATATCAGTGCACCAAAATCTTTAACAACTGCAACATTTTGATCAGTAGGTCTTTGTTTAATGAAATTTTGAAGCATTCATTTCAATGTGTGGAGATTTACTGTTTTCCACATTTACTCTATCATCACCTGCACCTGTAAAAAAACCTGAGCTGCATGTGCACACTTATTTCTTCACACAGTTATGAATGCGCCTCACCCGCAGAATGTCAGTTTTGAGCTGTAGTTCTGTTGATGGTGCAGAGTGCATAAGGCCGAGCAGAGTACCCATGTCATCATCTCCAGATGGCGACAGCACCAGCTGTTGAATGATCATCAGGGCGTGCTCACGACACTGACGGTACTTCACAATGTTGTGCACACACCGGGCTCCGCCAAACTCACGGAACAATCCTGAGAGATTCAGATTTTCTCGTTAAAAATTCATCAGACTTCATCATATAAGCTTGGAGGCAAGCAATTTAGGATTTTATTTTCAACTTCATAGCTTAGCAAGATCTTTAATGTTTTGTTTATGTAAATATTAGACACAACAAGACCATAGTGAGATTTAGAAATGACTGATCACCTCAGTGGCAATGCCACATTTTCTGCAGTAAAGCCAATCTGGTTGGCTAACAATAAATAAAGCATGAGTGCATCTGTGAGATAGGGCATTCTCAGACTATCAGCAGCCATGATAGAGAAGAGAAATGATTACAGATGGCGACAGCACCAGCTGTTGAATGATCATCAGGGCGTGCTCACGACACTGACGGTACTTCACAATGTTGTGCACACACCGGGCTCCGCCAAACTCACGGAACAATCCTGAGAGATTCAGATTTTCTCGTTAAAAATTCATCAGACTTCATCATATAAGCTTGGAGGCAAGCAATTTAGGATTTTATTTTCAACTTCATAGCTTAGCAAGATCTTTAATGTTTTGTTTATGTAAATATTAGACACAACAAGACCATAGTGAGATTTAGAAATGACTGATCACCTCAGTGGCAATGCCACATTTTCTGCAGTAAAGCCAATCTGGTTGGCTAACAATAAATAAAGCATGAGTGCATCTGTGAGATAGGGCATTCTCAGACTATCAGCAGCCATGATAGAGAAGAGAAATGATGTTGAGAGCTGAAGTTAAGCGACCTGACTCAGCACAGACAGTGAGACTACTGCAGGGCCTGAGAGCATGAAAATGAATTTTGACTCGTCCCTGAGTGCTTAAAAAAAAGGAAAATTGGGAGTATAATAATGCAATTATAATGAAAGCCTAAGGGATGTACTGGAAAGTTTCAAAACAAGCAATGTCAATCTCATATTTCTGTTCAAGAAAAACCATATGAAATCAAAAACTGACTTTGGTGGCATTGTATCTATGCATATTAGCTTTGAGACTTTAATGAAATTAACCTTTAGTAGATTTTACAGATTTAAAATGTAGTAGTTCTCTTCCGACAAAATGTTACAAATATTGATGACTCATTCTGCAGTCTGCACCACACAAATTTTTGACTAATCAAACGCTCTGGAGAATGAGAGTGTCCCGCCCTCTAATACCACAAGCAACTGAGAATTAGCAAATGATGATTTACAGCTATGATGTAACTAAAGCCTAATGATATTTTAAAGGAAAAAGGGACAATTCCCTCGATGTCCTGGCAAAACAGGCCATTTAAAATGGAAATGTTAAAATTGTGATTGTTTTTAGAGTACTTCTGATTTTTTTTTTTATTCCAAAAATTCTGTCAGAGATGAACTTCCTGTTACACATTACTAAAGTAATAACAAAAATATCAAGTAAATTAATACACAAGGCGTGGGGGATGTGTACAACTCTGTAAATCATAGGCTTAACAATTCTGTGTAAATCTGCAGAGCTTCTGCATGACGGATTCCGTGAGGCCCTGATTATGAATAAAGGTAGGTAAAGAGGAAGAGACGGTGAGACCAAAACTACTGTGTCAGTCTAATTCCAAGCCTTCCGCTTGCCATTTCCTCTTTCAAAACCCAGCAAAAGTTGGTGCCATAGACTTGTGGGCAGCGTTCTGACGTGTGGTGTGATAGCGCTTCGGGTGATCAGAGTTTGTGTCCTAGGTTGCGGTCCATTCTCCTCTCCAAACCTTTCAATTACAAAGTCTGAAAGGCCAAAAACTTCACTTTAAAAAGAAAACAAAAGAAACAGCCATGCACACATTTACCTGCATTGGTGTTCGAGCCTTGCAAGAGGACTGTGAGTGTCTCCATGACAAGCCAGGCAAGCTGTTTTTGCTCTTCAGCCACATTGTTCTTGGCATCACCTGACCACAGTGAGGGGGGAGCAGTCATTGAAATTATAACTAGTATCAGCATTGTTATTGTTTTTATTTTATTTTATAACTGATTTTGTTAATTAAAATAAACAGAATTATAAAAAAAAAACTAATAAAAAAAAGACAAAAGCATATGACAAAATGACTAAAACTTGAAACTAAGACATGAAAAAACTGAAAGTATAAAAACATGTGTTTTTTTTTAATCTAAATTAAATTAATAAACACTGTGGTAAGTATACAAATAATACTTAAAGGGATAGTTCACCCAAAAATGAAAATGTTATGTTTATCTGCTTACCCCCAGGGCATCCAAGATGTAGGTGACTTTGTTTCTTCAGTAGAACACAAACGAAGATTTTTAACTCAAACCGTTGCAGTCTGTCAGTCTTATAATGGAAGTGGATGGGAATCACGGCTTTGAGAGTCAAAAAACATACACAAACAAAACCAAATTAAACCCTGTGGCTCGTGACGATACATTGATGTGTAAAGACACGAAACAATCGGTCTGTGCAAGAAACTGAACAGTATTTATATAATTTTTTACCTCTGATGCACTGCAATGTCTGAACTGTCCTGAGCACAGTTCTAATTGAGATTGTAGATAGAGTATCAATGGTCCATTTGAGAGAAAGGTGGCGGTAATGCACTTATAAGTCTGCGATCCGCCGTAAAGCAAGAAGAAGAAGACGC